ATTGACAACTGTTGTAAAAAAAACTGTATCTTGAACTGAGACAGACAACTAATGAAACATTACCGTTTCTCGAAACTTGAAAAATAGTTTTAAAGCATACAACCTAGACTACCGTTCTGTTCTTATGAAAAACTTACAGTAGTCTGTTTTTTTTCAACTACTGTGTTTGCATAAACAGTAGTGAATCAACAGTGGTCTGATGCTGTTTCTGGCGTAGTGTTAGGCCTCACAACATGCAAGAAGTAAGAATACAAAAAATATTGCATTGGGGAGAAGCTTTACGTAGAAGTTAACGGGGGGCCGTCATTTGTTGCTTCCTTACCCTCTCATCCTGCTTCACCATACTGATGATAAACAAAAGTAGAATACAAAAAACAAAGTATTACCAACCGTTCATATCGACGAGATGTTTGAAATGGAAGGTTGAGGCTGCATATTTTGGTTCTTGATTATTTACCTGATATCATGGGGTGTGATGAAAATCCATTGAGACCCTTGAGCCAATGCAAAGTCAACGAGAGCATCTAGGCTGATTTTTCTGCTTACGGCATCCTGCAGGCCAGAGGGATGAAGGAGAAAATTGTCAGCTGAAAATTTCAAGTTCATCTTCAAGTGCAGAAGAAAAACCAGCTAGCGATTGTTGTTGGCACTTCAAAATAAAAAGCCCCACACAGCCCTTTTTTAACATATATAATAGAGGACACTCTATTGCCTGATTTGCAAGAATACAAACTAATCAAATTATCCTCTTTGAACATTAGTAAAAAGGGTCTTCTAATGCACCTATTTGATGTGTTTCCCTGTAAAAAGTAAAGGCCTTATATTTAATACTCCCTCCGTCCCATAATGCTTGTCTTGTTCACTATTCCTACGATCAAAGCATATTTTCTTTCCTTAACTATTTTCTTTAAACATTTTATTACAATTAAATAATCAAGCCAAGTCTAGTTTTATAAAGCTTTTTATGTGCCAAAAATATATTCTATATTCATTTGTAAATCTCAAACTCCCTCTGTCCCAAATAGGTGTGACCAGTTGTAGAACTTTTCATCTCATTATTCCCTCTAATGAAGACATGAAGTCCCTCGGTGCAAGGCTGCAAGCCATTGCCCCTATGCTTTTTGCATTAACATAGTGTTACTTAATTTTATACAACCAATTGGAACTATTAATTTAATGCAATTATTCAACCTATTTGGGATTAAGGTGGTGATAATAATGATGCTTGCAGGGATATCTGATCCAGAAGAATTTCAAGTCAGCAAACTAATAACTTATCCAACAAATAATGAAGGGAGCTTGTGCTATGTCTTAAATATTTACCATGAATACATCAAACTCATCCATTGCCCGAAATGGGGACTCAATCATTTCATGAAGAGCAAGAGCAAAGCACAATGTTGAGAAAGAGCGTTCCCCTCCTGATTCATCACAAAATCCAACCAAACAGATGCAGAGCATTTTCATCAGGTTTAAAATTAAATGCTCTGGAGAACATGAACATCATCAATTCATAACACAAGCAAACTAGTGATAATATAGACGTCAGATTAAAAACAATAGGCTTCACCCAATATTTTGCCTCCTTCATTGTTTCATGTCGAACGAACTAGTTAATAAATGTGGACTACGAATAACTCTACCTAAAACTGTTGAAGAATAAAATGAAGACCTAGAGCCTCCGTAGCCCGTTTGAGCCACTCACATACACAACCAAATAATCCCTGTATACGCCACTCAAAAGTAGGGTAGTAGGGGAAGATGTATGCAGACCTTACCTCTACACTGATTACCCGCGTAAAGAGGATGTTACCGCATGCTTAGTGAAATGTAGTGTGAGAAGTGAAAAATGAAGGAAGCAACAAAACAATACAAGAAGCAACTAACCACTAACCAACACAAATAAATTAACAGCAGGCTTGCGTGAACTACAACAAAAACATACCTATTTACAGGGACTATATCTCAACGGTTAGATTTACAATCAAACAATAATGATCACTGTGGACAGCATTTATTGGTGAGGAAGAAACAAAGAATAAAGCATGTTCATAAATCATGAAAACTTGATTGTCATATTAAGATAAAGCACACAACATGTTCCAAATCACACAATGCAACTTTATACTTAACTCTATAGCATGAATATACACGTGCCAAAGTAAAATTCATATCACTGCACACAAATGCACACATGCAAACATATGCAAGGAAACCTGAAAGCCCCCTTGTGTCATGAACCGAGCTACTTGATGCATCTTGAGGCATTGTAACCTGGTAAGGAAGACGGGTATAGTTATATAGTAGAAGAAAGCTGAAAGAGAAATTTAGTTCACAAATTGCTCTGGCAAGGGACATGACACCCTAGTAAGCTCATCATAATAATAATTTAGAAGGAAACAAACAAACAAATAAATAAGTTACACACAAATACAATTGATTTCTACCCATCAAAAGCCCTATTTACTTTTAAACTAAACAGGAGCATAAAAACAAAGCATAAAAAACATGAGCCATATAGAAATAAACCAAATACTCCCTCTGTCCCATAATTTTCTTCTCACGTTCACATGGCTCGCTTTGTGATAAAGTAAAAATTGTGTGGTTGAGACTCATGGAGAGGAAAAAGATATGAACCACAAAATTAGTTCCATAAAAGGAAACTTGAAGAAAATTTTGGGACATCCCAAAAAGGATATCATAAAGAAAATTATAGGATGGGTGGAGTATAGAAATCTGTGTGCGATGAAAATGGTACAGTGGGGAGTGCCAATTTGGCAGGTCTTCAAAAGAGTAAATTTGAAAGCTAACCATCCCCTTTATTTTAAGCATGAAACTGTAAATGGACATACTATACTTTTTTAGTGAAATTTGCACTGAATAGTACTAATACATGTCTTTTCCCAACTGTAGTACCTAGAACTTTGTATTCTCTAAATAGTACTTGAACAATGTCTAGTGACGGGAACAATGTTCAATAGCGGTGGACATTTAGTTTGACCAATGTCCGATGGCGGTGGACATTTACTTGAATATAAAGGGGATGGTATGGGAGTAGCAGGGCTTGATAGGTGTGTGGCATAAGATGCAGAGTTAGCTTTCCTTGTTAAAGAGGCAAGGGAGGCGTTTGTAGAGGAGGTGATGATGGTGAGAGAAAGGAGAGTCGTGAGGTATGAGGTTTTAGTGGTGGGTGCGGTCTGTGACAGTTTGGATTTTTCATTAAAAATCCATACCGTACCATTACTATTCAAACGGTTCAGTATAGTTCGTTCTTACGGCTAAAACTATTCCATACCATGGCACTTGAAATGGTACGGTACCATAGTGTTTTAGAACTTAAAAAAATTATTATAAAAAAACTAATCAATGAAAGTAAAAATATTTGGCGCACCAAATCCACCAATATGTTTTTATATCCTTACTCAACAAACGTATTGTTTAATACGAGTAATAATTTTTGACGAATCATAATTTAAAAGTAATTTGAAAGACTATGATTAAGTAAGTTAAAGTAACACCAAAGAAACGAAAACTGAAAATATTGAAAATCAACAAACGTAAAAGTATAATTAGTTGATTATTTTAACATTTTAATAGTAATGGTCCGGTTCGTGATTTTCGGTTCTCATTTTTTGAGAATCCATCCCGTACCATTCTAAAAATGGAACGATAGTGTTTGGGATATAATATACTAGAACCATTTAAAAAACATACTTTTCGATTTGGTATCATGTCGGTTTCATTTGGAATAATGTCGTATTCTGTATTCATATTTTTGCCCACCCCTAGGTGGTTTTGTGCCATTAATTTTGAATCAAACACCTCAGATGAGGATAGGTTTTATATATCAAACCTCCAGGAAGCTATGAGTGTTCATCCAAAACTCCTACCAGATTCTGAACCAAACAGGACCTCAAAATATTAGATATTTTAAAGTTAAAGCATTAAACACACACCCACACAGCCACACACATTGTATAAGTACAAACATGTCATGGTAAGCATCTAACTCACCTCGACAGAAAGGGTCTTCTTTTCGTAATTGACTATGATTTTTCCACTAATCCCCTTCTTTCCTAGATGGCCATTAAACCTAGCAAAGTGAAATAGGAAAATTATGTTGATAACATATCTTATGTGAAACTGCATCACATGCTAAATGTTAAATACAGAAAAAATATGTTGTATAGATGGACAATAGAAGGGTAAAAGGCATACTGCCAAGTCAGCTGACGCTTCAGGAGACTTGCATTTCTTTGAAACTTACTCCATCTCAGATCTAGTGCCTTACGGCATGCCTAACACCAGAACAAGAACATATAAAAGAAAACTGATGTAAATTGCCATATGATAGCAATGCATTTCAAGAATAAATAGCTCCCCAGTTCCCCTTCCCATTTCTTTGCATGCTCATGAATCTTTAAAATAGCTACATATGCATGCAACAATGGCTCAGACCAATAAATTGCTCGGACTAGCAATTTTTTATGGAAATTATAAAAATATCAGAATACTTTCTGATTACACAGCACACAATCCAATCCATAATGATAAACAAAACACGTTGAGGTCGATCATTTCATTAAAGATTCAATTCAAGCTAGAGTACATTTTTATGCATGTGCAGAGCAAACAACAAGCTGTTCATTTACAAACCAAGAGAAAACTCTGATGAAGAGAATGCATGTTGGGCATGTGGGACATGCATGCCCCAGCTTGAGGGATGATGGAAAATAATGTGATGTGTGATACTGTGAAGTGATTAACTGAAATCAAATTCCAGCTAGGGAATCTGAAAACTTTGAGGAACATGTGTTTGATTCTATGGCTAATTTGTGGACATAGGATAACCTTCTTATTTTCTTAATTAAAAGCTATTCTTTGTACATGTAAAATATCAGTTGAAAATGAATTTTTGCACTGCAAATAACCAAACTACATATCATCAAAACTAAAAGAGCAGAAAATAAGGCCATACAGGTATTCCTCACCTAGGCACGTGCCGAAATTAATAAGAAAGTTAAAGCAACATGGAGACTTACAGAAAGCTTCTCGCGAAATGCTTTATAAGTTTGCTGCCTTTTAAATATCATACGCTCCTTGTTCTCATACAAGGTTCGCAGATCATCAATAGATTCTGAGTGTCTGTACGAAAGCAATAAAAATAAAATAGTATCTGCATTTTATTAAGTAATTAAATTAACACTTTTAGAAGAAAAAATAGACCTTCGACTCTCTTGTTGCAGTCTATTGCTCAGCCTCGTTAGTTGTGCACTGAGTTGCTCTGGCGTATTTCCTTTGCAGCCTCCTAGAGTTTCAATATCTGTCTCGGAACATATGATAGAAGCTTTTTTGTAGCTTTCCTGAAATTTAGTAAATCGGTTTTAAGGGCTTAAGAGGTAAGTAATGCAATGCAACTCTCCAGAGTTGTCTCAGTGACAGAATTATCTGACATCCAAGGTCATATCTAAGTTCATAAGATGTGTAGAGAAAATTATTTGGATACAATAAACAGATGTACAACTATTTTAACATCAAGGACCCTAGCAGGTCCCTTCTCACAATCTGAGTTGTCTAGGTGTCAAGTCTAAAAACATACGATGAATATAGTCTTAGATATAACCAGATTACGGGTTGGAAAAAATTTTCCAACTCCCAATCCCGAATCAAGATTTTATCACAACCCCAACTTAGCCGGGACGGAATCAAGATTCATTTTTAATATAAGTACGGATCCAGACTGAAAAAAGAAAAAAATCCTCACAATTTTGATATTTTGTTGCAGTGAAAATTGACAAACTTTGACTGTTGCACCCAAAATTGACAAACTTTGACCATTATTTATATAAAATTGATATTTGATATTGATACAAAAATAATTTTATTAGATTTATCTTGTAAAATATATAAATAATATTATTTTATGGGATTAATATACCGTATAATTTTTATTTGATTATAGATCAAAGGAATTAACTCAATTTATGCATTGCAAATATACAAAATAGCTGTGTTACAATTTTATAAAACAACAAAATGATTTTTAATTTTTTTAACAATTTCACATTTAGTACAGTAAAATTACTGTTTATTTGTTTTTGGTTACTTTTCAATTTTCGTTTATGCATTTAAGGCCTAAAAAGCCAATTCAAACATGTAAGGGGTATATATGCACCATAGGGTGAATTTGCACCTAAAAAATCTAGGGTTTATCACTTTATCCGTGAGCTATAAACATTAAAGGTGTGTTTGTGCCTTTTCCCAAAAACATACCTTACGGCTATGCTCAAGTTCCTGATATTCTTTCTCCACTTCCTTGAGCTCTGTTAAGACTTTCACTTGCATGAGGTTTTCATAATGGTTGTACTTCTAAATAACAAAATGTGGATTGCAATCAACATGGGAATTCCAATTGAGAAAATCAGATGGAAAGAAAACTTCAAAAAGAAAAGAGGTATGCATGTAGGGATAAGCTTGACCATTTTAGCATCATGCATCTAGATACTTATCTATCTTCATCAACTCCCCTTCTGCATTTTCCAAGGCATCAATGTCCACTTTTGCAGACTCTGCATTATTAACATTGCCGCATTTGGTCTATGTTGTGATATAGCCAAATTAATAATTTGAGAGAGCCAAAAATTGTGGCATACCACAAATATTTTCAAGCAACATCTTAAAATGATTTCTTTTGGTTTCTGCTTCATTTACTCTCAGTTGGATTTGTTCCAGTAACTTTCTCTCTTCTTGAATCTCATCAACGATTTTCTGGATATTAGTTTTAAAAAATATTAAATCTGAATAGTGAATACTACTTCCTACGCAACAAACAAAAAATGAAAATGAAATTAAAACAAGTCAATAACTAGAGGAAATGTTGAGTTTATAATTTTGGATAAGAACGTATTGAAGTAAACACCGATTCTTCTTGAAGAAGTTCATCACTCGACGTATTGGTTGTGCTAGTTACTGCAAAATTTGACTTCTTAGCATCTTGCAAACGGAAATCCTTAGACTGCAAGTCTCGCTCAGCATCAATACGCCTTCTCTATATAAATCAAACAAGAAAATAGTTACAACAGTATATCACTCATTAAAAATAGAAGTACTCATGGATTAGTGCTATCCATCTTTTTAAAGTAGGAAACTTATCTGTCATTAGTCGTACACTGGTACCTCAGAAGTACCACAAGTCTTAAAAAAATATGAAACATTTTTGAATAGCCAAAATATATATCCATGTAATGTATGTATGTATGTATGTGTGTGTGTGCTGAAATAGCTTTTTTCACCTTATTATTGCATGAAAAATGTTCGTTGAATTAAACTAAACTGCTGCCGCCAGCTGACTGACATTTAAAATAATCAACACTTTGATAAATCATACATTACACATACAAAGTAAAGACACAATAAAAGCTAATAATGAGTACATGGCGTTGTTAGTTTTTTACGCCATTGGAAGAAGCAGGCCATCAGCTCCTGTACATCTTACTCCTTACTTGTTGCACTACACATACAAACTTGTAGAACACTGAAATCTAAACCTGCAGGCCCATCAATGTCAGCAGCCACGTCAGCTTTTAGAGCACAAGTGCAAGGGTCGTGGCATGTCATGAAATCAACCCTCCATACTTTTTAACCAAAACCTCAAGCCTGTTACTGGCCAGCTTCTGCACATCTTCCATGTGCACCAACTCTCCTTTTTGCCCTGAATTCTCCCACAACTTTTTTGTCTCACAAGTTTCCTCAGCCACCACCACTTTCAGCTGAACCCCAAGCGATGCAAAGACACTTTAGCCCCTCCAATCCCGTTGTAGATAGACAGGATTCACAATCCCTCTGGATACACTGATTTCAAGGTGGACAGATGATATGCCAGTGTGTCCGTCTGAAAGCAGTTTTTCAAGAGCTGGAGCCTGTCTGCCAGTGTGGAACCAGCAGTTGGGTATGTTTTCTTGGATATCTTTGCCCCCAAGCAGTTCGGGTATGCTTTGTTGGATATCTTTGGCATCTTCTCTTTCAAAAGATCCAGCAATTCGAGTGGCAAGTTTGGAGTCCACTAGTTCAGTGACAGGAGCTTCTCTGCCAAGCTTTCTCATTGCAAGATTAATTTCCTCCAAAGCGAAATCCATTGCTAACAAGGATTGTTTCTTTTCATCTCTAACTCCACATGTATCAAGCTCCTCTTTTACATATCCATTGCAAACAAGGATTCTTTCTTTTCATCTCTAACTCCACATGTATCAAGCTCCTCTTTTACATGTAATTCTGTGTCCCGGGGCACGATGACTTCACATTGCTTCCAGACGAACTGGCAACATCCTCCCCTATATGCTGTGAAAACATGTTCTACACTGGCAAATCAAAATCAAGAACCTCAATTTTAGGCACGAAGGCACTTTCAACCTGTGGTTTTGTAGGGTTTCCATTGTTGGAGCAATCCATTATTTATTACGTAACACACAGACTAAACCTTACTAGAAATTGAGGGCATGCTGAGAATAGTCAGACATGCATGGGACGCGTGTGGTGCCTGCCCCACCCAATACGAGGTCAAATCTGAAAGAGAAATAGAAATGGAGTATAGTTTCGTTCTTTCTTTTTTCCTGGCAGTGCTAGATGTGGATCAAGGAATGTAGCTGGATCAGATGCCCACCAAACGAAGTAATGGCGATGGTCCAATAGAATTATGCTGACTGATGTTGTACTGTGCCGCCTGGTTGCAGAGATTTGATAAGGTAGGTGTTAAGCTTTTTTTATTCTTTTTTCGAATGCTGATTGCGGAGAGGTATGACGGAGGCAATTATAGAAAGGCTCCACCCTCCGGCCGCTGTGAACCCCAAAGCATCTCTGTTTGGAGGACTGATTTCTTTTTAGATTTAGGGTTGGTCAAAATTTCTAACCTTCGGCCGCTGTACACATACACACACACTCCCTCTGTCAATTAATTTCTTTCCCACTTCTTTTTGGACGGTCCATAAATTTCTTTCTCATTTCCTAATTTGGCAATAAATATAAGGTCAAATGACAACCTTGCCCTCACCTTTTTACACCACCCACTTCATTTACTTCATCTTCTCTCTCTACACTTCTTCAGCTTCATCTCTCCTTCGTATTCCCTCAACCCACCCACAACCTTCATCCTCACATCTTTTTGTTTCTTCCATTCATACACCACAGCCTCATCTCTTCTTTCCATCGATTCATCCCTCCTTCAACTTTCATCTTCTCAAATCTACATCGCCATCTTCTTCTTCAATTTTTCCATTCGACACAGCTCATTTTCTTAACATTATAGAGTGGACAGATCAGAAAGATCTCAACGATTTTTGCAGCGACAGTGGTAATTGAAAATCTGATGGTGGCGGTAACAGAGTAAATGGTGGTTACAGACTCCGTCTTTTCCAATTTCAGATCATTACTTTTATTTGTCAAAACTGTTAGTGAAGATAGTGTCTGTGTAATAAACAATTAAACAATTTGAGGTTAAAAATCCATTGTTTATTTACAATTTGGGGTTCAATATTCATTCTCGATCTCTACTTTATTCTTCAAAAGCCCAGTATGGAGGATGGAGGTGACGAACAAAGGTAACAGGGACGGAGGTGAGGAAGAGAGAAGAAAGAGTGAGGGGCATTATGGGAATGTCAACACAAATCTTGACTTTTCATAACATCTGTGCTCAGTTAAAGCGGGAAAGAATTTAATGAGAGGGAGTGTGTGTGTGTGGGAACGACTCCAGTGAGATGACACAACGGTGAGATGACATGGCATGACACAATGTGAGCAACTCAAATGCAATGTCTGGTGCTGTTTTGTCTCTTTGTGCTTTTCTATACCCTTAGTTTGTTCTTTGAGCATTGTGTTCGTGCTTAGTGTGTCTCCTGTGTTATTCGAGTTGGAGGTCACTTGAAAACAGCCTCTATACTTTTGAGTAGAGGTGAGGTCTGTGTATACCCTCCCCAATCCCCATACCCTACTTTTGTGGAATTCTACTGGGTTGTTAATGTTGTTGAGTCACTTGAGTGTGTATCCTCCCCCTCCCAACAGTGAGGGACCACTGAAGCTTCAAGGTAGATTATTCTGGCATTCATATTTGCTAAAAGAATTGTTATAAAATGGCATTTAATCTTCACAATATAGGGGGTTAAGAAAAGAATATTTCCCACACACAAAAACAAAACTTATGTCCAACTAACTATGGAAACGGGAAGCCAGGCATGGCAGAATGAATTACTAATTAGTATGCATGCAACTCACCTTAACACTTTGCATGTTTTCGTTAAGACTTCTAAGCTCTTCCTCGAGTTTCCTCTTCACACTCTTAGATTTTTCATCAAGATCTTGGAAATAAGATGCATCCTTTTCAAGACTCTCTATGTCACTGTCAAATGAGCCACAAAGACGTCCACTTCTACCATTCTTCATTGGAGGAAGAATTGTTTGAACAGAACCTCGAGAAAACCTACAAACAAACAAAAACTGTAATGACCTAAATACAATGGATAAAACTCATAAACAACATAATAAGTCTTTGAAGAGGAAAGAAAAAAGTGGGGAACATAGTTTTCTATTGGTTAATTTGGTTTACATATTTGCTATAGCCTAAATCGAAGGTGATGGTTGTTCTCCATCTGTAATTAGCTTATATACATTTTAACATTGGTCTACTGCAAGAGTAAAGCATAATTCACATTAATTCATAAAAAGACAACCATAGATTACTTGAATTAACTCATTCACTACGTACTTATCTCAGAGCATCGGTCCTCCATTGTCCCAAACAGTATATGCATAAGAAACAGATTAAAACAATCTCACAATGATCAACATAGTAATGAACAATATCAAATAATTATGTCTATTATACTGTAGCTACTACAAAGCAACTCACATTTTATATCCATCCGAAGTGTAAACTTCTTTCAAATTTGAAATTGCTTGCTCAAAAGCAACCATTTTACCCGCTTCATAGTCTCTTACAAGAACTTGCCTCTCAGCATTACCCTAGAAAAACAAAAAATAATTCAAGATTGGGACTTTGGGACATATATTAATGCTATCATTTAAATAATTAAGAAAATATGGCCGTATCCATACTCAGTAACACAATAAATACTAACCACTCCGTCCCAAAGTTATCTTCCAATTTTGTTTGGTGTTGTTTGACTCAAGTTATTTTTTATTTTATTTATTTATTTATTAGTGCAAATTTTAAAAATAAAACTTAAATATTTAAAAACTACAGAAGTTCAACAAAACAAGAGCTTACATCACTATTTTATTTTAACAAGTGATCAATGAAAATATGCAAGAAAAGAAGACATGGATTGACCATGTGTACAGGTGTCTGGAAAAATAAATTTGGGATGGGTTTAGTAGATACACAAATAGATGCACACAAACATGTTTGTATACGTGTAGGCATTTTATATATTGAATGTGATCAGCTATTCCATCGAGCCACTACTTCATAAGAAAAGGTTCTACCTCTTATCTAAGGATGTCGGTCAAGATGGGTGAAAGCATAGAGCCGTAGACTAAAAGAACAATTAATTAAAACAAAAAATGCACCATTTGCAAAGTGAACATCACTTGGACAACAATTTAGAAACTTTACCATATCAATTAGGACATTATTTACGGTTGGATGATCACAGTGCAAAACAGAAAGCGTAGTCGGATGGTTAGTATCAGGAAGCATGTGGCCCGGAATGTTTAACCTAAAATACGGAAAGACATTATTTCAGAACTAGATAAAACAGAAGATATACATGAAATGCAGAAAAATAGATGGTTAAACTACAGTTCTCTACCTTGGTATGGAGAAGTCATATATAATAATCTGAAGGTAGTCATAGTTGGCGTCCCTAGCACATGCCTTTAGAACAAGAGAATCTTTAAGGTCTGTAACTATAAAAGAATTTAGAAGTCTTCCAATGGCATTTTCTACAGCAAGTCCCCACTTCTCTGCATGAACCAAGGTCTATAATGCACAAAATGGTAAACACAACCCATTAATTATCAATGCATTCATACACTCAAAAATGGAACTAACAATAGGAAATGAAATATCTTTTTTTTTATCATGTGCCTTTTCGTAACTAGAGAAGTATGATAACGATGAAAAAAGATAGAGACAGTCATCATGAATACGTTTTTAATTGTTACATACAATATGAACGGGTAAGTCTCTCTACCTGCACAGCAGTGTCGTACTGCCGTAGTGGTAAGGTTGTTACAATATTAATGTTAGTTTACACTTGGACACTTGGTATGTTGTTACAATATTAATGGGTACAACACAAACTCACCCATTATATCCCATTTAAGGAATCTCCCCTAAAGAGGCATAAACTGGTTACACATGTACAACACAGAAAAATACTACTTTTGAGATTACTATGTAATCAACAATTTCACTATTTGCAAAACATTTAATAAATAGATATATCCAAATCCTATAAATAGATATACTACTAGAGAGTACTATGTAATCAACAATTTCACTATTTGCAAAACATTTATCAAATAGATATATCCAAATCCTTAAATCTGCAAACACTAGCATCATGCCCTTGCAGTAAGGAAAGCTGCCGTTGAGATTCACACCATCTCTATGGCATATGATAGAGTAGAGTTGGTGCCTCTGTGCATGTTCTGGTTTGGGCTGGTGCCTCAACCTATATGAACATTTTTGTTGACTAGGGTATGCCCCTTTATTCTTGTATTCTTTGCACTTGGGTTTCAATAAATTTTACATGTCACCCAAAAAATGATAACATGAATATGTTATTACTTTTAAGTAATCATTTAATGAGCCGTCCATGAATATATGTCACAGGGAGGGTATATAAGTTATAACTTAAATACAAGCAGCTAAGAGCCTAAGAAAAAAGATACAAGTGAAGATATTTCATTATCAACACTTGAAAAAACACAAATGTTACGGAGTATTGTTTTTTTCGCACAATGTTATTGTTTATTACACGTACCACGTGGGAACCAATTGGACCAATAGGGGGCCTACGGAACCTTTCACACCTTCTTTCTATGAGCTCCAAAAGGCGAATCACTTTACTACCTCCAAAAGCTGTAACCTAGAAGAAAAGATAGAACTAAAATAAGTAACTGAAGTGCAATACACAAGCACTAGTTTTCTTAACTCAAATGGATTATTTGATTATTGTTTCCTATGCAAATGTTTTAAGAATAAGAAGTTTGTTGGTTATGTGTGTGAGAAGTATTTAAGAGTGAACGAAATTTTGCTTCTATCAAAATGAATAGCAAGTCTTGTTCTCCTATGCCCACCTAATGACATCACAAAAATGATGTATCTTGTGATGTATCCTTTAAAAAAGATGTCATATTTCTAGATTATATACAGACTCCATTACTCCATATTAGTTACCACTATTTTCTGCACTCATCCTCAACCTGGAACTATAAATCATATGCTCCATGTTTGTCACATATTTATTTTATGATATATCAGGGATTCTGCCAGTATGTATGATGTTCGTCTCTGTTGACATATCTAGTGATAATGTGTCCAGATAATATCTTTTCTCGAATAGTGAGAATTAAACTCGTCTCAACGTGCTTAATCCTCTTGTGGTAAAATGGATTTGATGTGAAATGCATTGCTGCCAATGTTCTAAATGGCGAGGCGGAAACCCGAAATGAGGCGCGCCTCTGACACTTTTCCGAAATAATACACAAGGCGTATCTCTCCATACGCTATATGTGTTTCTATCTATTGCGGAAGATGGCGTAGGCAATAAGGCTTACGCACTGGGGCAGGATTTGAGGCGTAAGAAATATTTGTTCCCAAATTTTTTAGATCAAGGTTAAATCAATCAATTAACAAAATTTGAACATATATACCTTGATCCGATTGTATCTGATAACCCTAATTACATTGCCGCCATCTTCCATACTTGTCATCATCTTCAGCAGGTTTGAGTCATATCATCTACCATCTTCGCATATCTTTCTCTTTTTTCTGCCTATTTTTGCTGCGTTGTGATAAGTCTGGGTTCCAGGCTATAGTGGCTGCCTATTATAGTAGTTCTTATACTCCGAATATCATTTTTTTTCTTATTGCTAATCTGCCAGCCTGTGTTAATTATACAGTTTGTATTGCCAGCCTTTTTTAAGAATATGCTGCATCTTTTCTCCATGTTTTACGAATTTGTGGATTTCTATTTGCTTTGGTTTTTTAATTAATGAGGTTTTTTGTTTCTATGCTTTAGACACCAATGAACTCTTTTTGCATTCGTCAATTTAAGTTCATCGTATTCAGTCAATATTTTGTATTGTTTCATGCTAGACTTTGTTGTGTTTGAGATCTTTTTACTTTCCAATAGACTTTTTTAATGGTTATGGAATAATAATGTTCTATCATCATTTTTCAAAATGTTATATTTTTTTAACTCTAAAATTGAGGCTTATGCCTCAAAACGCCTTTAGGCTTACGCAATACGCCTTGGAAGAAAACCACCCCAAAACCGCAATACGCAATTTCAAACATTGATTGCTGCTTGAGTATCACGCATTAACTGTACTGATTTTTTACTCTCATTAATTCTTGGAGGGTGTCGTTTAAAAACCATTAGATATCACATTCAGCAAGAATAGCCGCAAAGAACTTAATTTTTCATTTACTAGTTAGGCTCTGTTTTTTCGGTTGGAAAAATTAACTTCCAACATTATCCAACTCTTAATTTTTTCCAACTCCTTCCAATTTCTTCCAACTTTAGAATTCCAACTGAAAAAAACAGAGCCTTTAATGGTGTCTCTCATATTAAGCAAATGATAACCATTTGTTTCCCCATTCTAGTTAAGTTAACTGTACTGAATGTGAAAACCCAGTAGGGTTAACTGAAAAAATCACTGGTTTTTCGTTACGAAGTTAGATTTTCCAGTTTCGATTTTTTGTGCCCATCCCTTGTGCAATTTCTATCTCTTAAGTCCACCAAATGTCTAAATCATAGATTCTACATTAGTTCTACTTCTACCGTGTTTTCTGGACTCCAAACTATTTCAAGAAATTGATGGCATAACCTATGATTAAGAACGTGTTTTCTCTAAAGTCAATTTGACAAGAAAAGGAGTTCACAACAGACAGCTTTTTATGGTATAAGGCATTGCCATAAATTTATATGAATTACTTGTATTGACACCCAATTAATGAACTTGCAAACAATGACAAATCACAAAGTAAACTGTATAGAAGACACGACACGCAAGTTGAAGACATTATGATAGTTAAATAATTGGATTTGAATCTTCAAATCCTTCCCACCCAAGAAGTTCAAAACAAGAATTAAGTGTATGAAAAACTATATTTACCTTGCTGCTTTGATTAAGTTGAAGCTCACGAATGTGACAACGAATACCAGAGAGTTTTTTTGCATTTTCCTCAATCTAAAATAGTATAAAATTAGTATTTATGATGTAAAC